GATTCAATCTTCAAAGCTTTTTTCCAACGGCCTACCTCCACAAATTCTCCCATCTCAGTTCCTCACCCTCTCACCATCTCAGACAATGGCAACAGACGAAAACACAGTTCTTCACCCTCTCACCCTCTCACCCTCTCACCAGCTCAGACAAAGGCAACAGATGAAAACCCAGTTCCTCACCCTCTCACCATCTCAGACAATGGCAACAGATTCTCCCATCTCAGTTCTTCACCCTCTCACCCTCTCAGCAACCCTCCACATTCAGTAATATACCCCTCATTCCTGAAAACACCCCCTATCCCAGAGGGCCCTGGATTCCTTCCACATGTTTCCAAATCTAAATGGAGCAGGACTTGCATTTCTCACCTCCTCCTTAAATTACAATAGGCCAAAGGTCAGAGGTCACCCTTAGAAGTGCTCTAGAGTTCAAATTCCCCCAATGTTCTTCCCAATCATTTGAAAATAAGAATCTGTCCAACTTAGAACAAATTGGATTAAATTGGAGATTGGACCAAGTAAAACAACTATGTGACAATGGGATCTCTTTAAGTTCATAGGTATCCACAAATTGATTAAATTTCCTCATACTCGTGGTTAACCTCTACTTAGGACTGTTTGTTTATTCCAAGAATCTGATTACATTGAAATCACTTCCTAAGCCCCATGGCCCTTCCCACAATCCCCTTATGTCTACCAGTTCTTCCCATAACTTCCTCCTCTCTCTGTAGTCATTCGGCCCATACACATTGGTTAACACCCATTCAAATCCATCCTCCACTTGCCTAAACTTCAAGGAAACTGAAAATTGTCCTATCAATTCCTCCATACCTACAAGTACTTCATTCTTCCACATTCTCACAACATTCCCTGCAGACCCCCAAGAAGGTAAGGCCATCCAACTAATCCCCTTACCTCTCCATACACTCCTTGCCCATTTGATGTCAAATTCTGCTCTTTTAGTTTCCTGCAACAGTACCACATTTGGATCTATTTTCTTGATGGCCTGGATCAGTATCTGGCACCCAGGACACAGAGCAAACATTAGTATCACAAACTGAATAGACACAATTACTTGGGTTATGTTGGGATAGGATAGGAGTGCTGGAACTGGAGGCAGAAACTGTCGGGCCCTGAATTGGAGTGTGAGAGTCATCTAACTCCTTGGCTCGGTTTTGATGAGTTTGCCAGTTTGCCTTCCCGTCTCCTTTGTTATACAGTGATCTCTTCCCTCACCCTCCTGTTTGTCCCTCACTACTGTATCCATGTCTTGCTTCTGGGAAGTCTCAGATAATTCCTTACACATCTCCTGTTTGGCATAATGATTTGGTAATGGAGCTTCTGAGTGTTAGTCAGAGTTTTTCCCCCCGGCATTAGGAATGTGTTCCGCTCTGTTGATTGGCTCACGGCATAAAGCCTGTTCTTTGCAAAATACTTCTTCTGCTTCTTCTGTAAACAATGTAGCAAGATTTAGAGTTGCTGCAACCTCTTCCTCTGACATCTTTCGGGCTCGACACTTCCTATGCTGGACTGGTCATTAGAGTCTTCTTCCAAGTTGCAGTCTACCCAGCCCTCATCGATGCCCTCCTTCTCGTTGCATTCTCTTGCGTACCTGGGATTTGGCCGATCCTTTGATGATTGGCCCTCCCGAGGTATTTCAAAAACTGGGCGAGAAATCCAGTGTAAGGAGCCTGTGATTTTCTCAGTCCGCCTGGTTGAAGCTGAAGCACCGTCAAAAGTCTTCCTCGAAGAAGAAGATAGACGATTTCTATCGTCTATAGTCCCCAACATCTTCCCCCGACCCACGTGCTCACTTAAACAGTAACGTGGATTGGGTTTCGACCCCTTGGTTGGACCGTTCTGTCCTCCTATTGGTTCAAAACTTCAGATAAACCGGCCCACACCAAATCTTTGACTGGTCCACCCCCTTTTTAACCACATCAGCAAATGAAGCCCTGTCCCCTAAATTTTCAGTTAATTCAAAAATTTTCAATTTTTTTCTTTTAATGGCTTGTGTGTCTTTTGGTTTTCCTCCACTGACTTTCCAGCTTCCCCTTGAGGCCTGTGCTGTTTTTCTCCCCATCTTGCCAACACCTGTGTGCCACACGTAACCCAACCCACCACGTCAGCATCGTCTTCTACCTTGGTTCTTCACCCCTAGAGCTCCACCTCTACATCTGAAACCAGCCAGACTCTATACCAAGCTCCGTCAGCAAGAACTTCGGTTATTCTTGGGAGTGATTCTGGTTCCACCCCAGTAATCCTAACCTCTGCAGCTCGAAGATCTTGCAGCTGGACTTCCTCCATTGCCCTGCCCAGCAGTTTTACTATGTTTCCCAGGTTTGCTTCGTTCCAAAGATGGAAGTCCTACCAGTTTTAGCAAGAAGCTTCTATTACATTCTTGGGAAAATATACTTTTAACTTTTTCACAAATTTCTAGAAAACAGAAATAATCTTTCTATTCATGATATGACTTGCGGTTTGGTTGTATTCAATTCAATCTTCTCTATGATTTACTATAAGATTATGATCTTTAAAACATACATTTACAGTTTTGTATTCCATACTAGCAGGTCATGGTGGTTTTGGTCATGTTGTTCTGTGCAAAAATAAACTAGATGGAAGGCAATATGCTGTGAAAAAGATACGTCTCAAGGACAGAAGTTTGCCTGTTAATAACAGAATACTGAGGTATACTTGTTTTATTGCAATTCAGCAAAAGGAATAAAGTCCAATGTATTTGCCTTTACAAGTTTTTTTTGTTTTTTTTTGTTTTTTTGCCCGTTTTGGATAGCAAAATGAAATGTTCTAAAAATGAAAAATGGTTACAATAGGTCAAGGGATGGAGCGATTTCGCCCAAACAGAATATAAAACATCCACTTACAAAGAATTTAGACATCCAATACAAAGTCCAGAGAAGTCCAACTAAAAAAGAAGGTTTTTCATGTTAGTGTTTTGAACTTGAAGTTTAAATAAAAATACTTACATTGCATTTGGTCAAAGTAAAATCATTTGACTGTGTACTTAGTAGTTTACTTGGAATCAATAAATATTTGTTACCAATCAAAGATTCATCTAGCTGGAATATGGACTTCATATTATAATCATGTTTTTACACTTTCTTTCCTTCTTTTCTATAAGAAATATATTATTTGATATATTTTCTATGACAAGGTACTCAGGGAGGTAGCCACCCTTTCACGTTTGCAGCATCAACATGTTGTCCGTTACTATCAGGTTAGAGCTTTCTATACTGTTGTGAGTTACTTGTGTTCATTTTTTAGCTTTTGTGGTTCCAACCAGATGTGAGTATTATTAATATTACTGTGTTATTCATGATGGATTTATATTTTCCTTTCTTTATTGAATTGCAAAAAGCAACTCCTGAATTCCTGATTAACTGGGAGCTTGTCAGTAGAGATATGAAGGGGGTTTAGGGATAGAGAGATTAGCTCACAGGAATTTCTCTTTGTTGGGGAAATTGTTATGGAGGTTCCCTATTGATTTGGACAAATTATGGCACATAGTCATCAAAGGTATTCATGGTATTAATCCAAACGGTTGGGATGCAAGAGCCATTTTGGTGTCCCCTTGGAAATCCATTATGGCCTTAACTTATTTATTGTCTCTCATCGGTTATGATGCTCTTGCATGGGTAGACTGGATATGGTCTTTCGGAATTTTTTTGCACAAAGTGGCTTCTCTCAGACTTGAACCTCTGTTTTCATACTTGCCAGAGTGAGATTTTCCCATTACACGAAGTAATGGTGAAATCTTACACCTCTATTTTAATTTCTTTTGAACTTAAAATGAATTTCTTTAATTTATTATAAGCAAAACGAACCTAACATCATGGGATTCTCTTAATGTACATAACAGTTTTTCATACCAATTAATAAAGTTTATAATGTTAACAATCAATAGGAAAAAACCTAACCTTTTGAATAATGATCAAATCCTTCCTAAATATTTTGGTCATGTTTTTCTGTTGTTAGTTGGGAAGCTGTTCTGCCTTGTGTTTTTAGTCAAATCCTTCCTAACATTTGTTTTCTTATCAATTGGACAGTGTTAGACCATGCAAAAAATGGAAATTAATATTTTTAAGATTCTTGATGAATCTACTTGTTGTTATAAGTTGAACATTCTGACTTCTATTTTTGAAATGTCGAGTAAGAAAGTCAATTTTTTGCATTCTTTGACCTTAATCTAATGATTATTTATATGATTGAAAAAATAGGCCTGGATTGAAACACAAGTTGGTGGTTTTTATGGTGATTCGACTTTTGGTTCAAGAACTGGAGAAACCTCCAGTTATAGCTACAATGGGGCAAATTCAACAAATGCACTTGGGCCTGAGAATAGGCTAGAGTCCACATTTCTATACATACAAATGGAGTATTGCCCTCGGTATGCATTTTAGTTCCTTTTTGTTATGTAATAATACTATAAACATTATGATGATTTCTCAGTCCTCTTCTATCATTCAGAAACACTTTTATGCCTTGCTTAAATAAACCCATCCTACCAACACCATTGGAGGACATTGCATTCTTCATAGATTTCTGTCAAAATGATCATCATTCTCTGAAGTTGAGAAGTGTAATTTTCCACATCACTCCCTATCCTCCAGACAATCTTCATCCATCACCTGGGATTTTCTTAACGTGTTGTGCACTACTTCCCTATGTTTCATTTCCACAATCTCTAGCCAAAATTATTTGGAAAACTTACAAAAAGTCTATACTTTCTTCCCCTTGCACCCAGGAGTAAGCAATAGGGAGACTCACAACATCAGTACTCAGGATGTGATGATGGGTAAAATCAAAGTCTGAACTCTGTCCTGTCCAACTACTAATTCAACTCAGTGCTTCACAACATGCTTCCTGTATTAATCAGCATCCATAAGACCTCTATATTCAAGAGCTTCTTGCTGATCCATCTCTTCCCCCATAACGCTTGAAGAGAAGAAAAATACATAGCAATGGGCCTCTCCCTTGTTCAATATTACTGACCTCTTGGCTAAGCTGATACACCCTATCCATAAATTACAAGCCTGAGAATAAGTGCTAATAATTCTCTCCCAAATATCCTTGGTAGTCGGTAGGAACATATTGTTACAGATCTGATCTGTACTGGTTTCAGTCCTAGAATAATAGAGAAAAAGAACAGAGGAGAAAGAGAAGAGATAGGAGAACAAGCTTGGTTTGAACGAGAGAAAAGTTCATCTCTCAAGTCGGCCAGATATTATTTATGGGTTTCTGATAAAGTTCATATCTGTGTAGCTTTTAGGTTCAGAATAATAAAGGAAAAGAAATAAAAGTGAAAGAGTAGAAGGAAGAGAAGAGAAGAGAAGAAATAAGGTCTGGTTCGAACTACAGTAATTTCTCTCTAGTTGACCAGTTTTATGTATAGTTTTCTAAACCAAAAGCACAATGACTATTGTGCTCCTACTTAAGTGTGGGACACATCACTTAACTTAGAATCTACTTGTAATTACATCAAGCATATAATATAATGTAAATCAGGGGCGGAGCTAGGAATTTTTTATGAGGGGGGCCAACCATTGGGTGAAAAGTGAGGGGAGGAAACAAACTTACTTATAAAAATGTATTGAGTGTGCAAATTTCTGGACCATAGGGGGGGCCATGGCTCCCCTGGGTCCCCCTAGCTCCGCTCCTGATGTAAATTGACCATACTACCCCTCTATAGCTGACTCTAACACTCCCCCTCAAGCTGGTAAGTATATGCCATATAGTCCCAGCTTGTTACATATGTAATCCACTCTTCCCCGACTCAACCCTTTGGTGAACAAGTCTGCCCATTGATTTCTTGTGTTCACATATGTTGTATTTATCATTCCACTAAGCACCTTCTCTTTCACAAAGTGGCAATCAACTTCTATATGTTTTGTTTTTCACAAAAATTTAGATTAGAGGAGATATGAAATTATGAACTGCAGCTTGGTTATCACAATATAGCTTCATAGGAGTGTCAATCAAGTACCCCATTTCCTCTAAGAGATTCTTCAGTCACACTAGTTCACATGTTGTGTGTGCCACGGCTCTATGTTCATCTTCTGCACTGCTTCTTGCTACCACTGTCTGCTCCTTACTCTTCCATTCACCAAATTGCCCCCAAGAAAAGTGCAATACCCTGTAGTGGACCTTCTATTAGATATGGAACCGACCTAACCAGCATCAGTGTATCCCTCTATGTCAAGGCTTCCTCCACTTTTATATAACAAGCCACGACTTGGAGCTCTCTTCAAGTACCGTACAATCCTTAGAACCGTATCCCAATGTGGGATTTGAGGATTCTGCATAAATTGACTCACTACACTAATTGCAAATGAAATATTGGGCCGAGTAATGGTTAAGTAGTTTAACTTGCCTACCATCCTATTACCTTCTAAGATTTTCAAACTCTTCACCTGCATTAGTGTTTTAAAAGCGCAAGGTGCAAAAAAATATCATTCCACGAAATTTAAAAAGAAATAAAAAAGTAAAAAAAAAAATGCAAAAAATTCAAAAAATATTAAACATAAGTTTAAAAAATAAATGTTTTAAAAGACCTATTATCTAAAATTAAAATACATAATCATAACATGTAAAGCATATTCAAATTAAAATTAAAAAATAAAATCTAACATATAAAGCATTTTTAAGCATGTAAAACCCACAATCTCTTTTTTTCCTCAATTGCAATACTTCAAGTAGCTAATGTGATGTAAAATATATTGCACTCTTAATTCTATGAGTCGCCTTTGTACCACACCCCTCGAGGTAAGCCCGTCCATGTTAGGGTCTTAATTCTTATTTCTCACATAAAAAATAATGATTTTATAACTTTAATTGCCTTTTAAGAAGATATTTTATTGGAATGAATGAATGAACACCCCGACCCAGCTGTTAGGCTAAAAAAAGCAAAAAGTGCAGAATTTTAAAAAGGCGCACGCCTGGGCTGAGGCACAAGGTGCATGCCTAGGCGCACCGAGCATGCGCCTTTTGAAAGGGGTGCGCCTAGGGCTTGGGTGAGGTGCATACCTCAAATGCACCTCGCCTGTGCGCCTTGGCACACCTATTAACTCACTGACCTACCTCACTACTTAACTTGACATTTGGTTCCATGGGTGTTGTTGTGAGTTCTGCTGTAGTGGAATCAACCTCCTTATGAATTCTCTGTTGTAAGTAATGCTGAGAAGCAGAATGCAAAGGAGGTGGCAAGGTAGGTGACACAGGGTGGTGGTCAAGCACAGGGACTGGAACTGGGAGAGGAATAGACTGCTAACTCACTTCCCCAAAACACTCCCCCTGAGAAGGATTCTTTGAGAAGAAGTACGTGGATTCAAAAAAGGTGACATCCATGGTAACATATTGGCTCCCAGAGACTGGATCATAGCAGCAGTACCATTTCTGATTCTCTGCATATCCAAAGAAGACACACTTCTTTGCCTTAGGATCAAGCTTCGAGCGGTGAGGACCAATGATATGTGCAAAGCAGACACACCCAAACACCCTGAGAGGAATACGAAACATCTTCCCTTGAGGAAAAAGGGACTGAATGGGGTGCTGAATCCAAGTATACGAGAGGGCACCCTATTAATCAGATATACTGCTGTGAGAACTACATCACCCCAAAACTGAACTGGAACTGTAGATGTGATCATCATGCTTCTTGCAATCTCAACGATGTGTCTGTTCTTCCTTTCTACAACACCATTCTGCTGTGGACTGTAGGGACAACTACTCTGATGGACAATACCATATTCTAATAGATATGAGGCAAGGTGTCTTTCAAAATATTCTTTGGCATTGTCGGATCTTAACACCTTTATTCTTGTTCCAAACTGTGTTAGTACCATCTGATGAAAATGCCTCGCCAAGGATGGTACTTCATTGTGGGATCTCATCAGGTAAATCCAAGAGTATCGTGAGAAATCATCCACAATTAAGAGAAAATATCGATAGCCTCCCATAGAATAACATCAAAAGAAGAAGAACATCTTTTATTACTAGGTTTAAATGAATGTCTACAATGCTTTCCAAGCTGACAACCTTCACACTCCAGACTTGACAAACTAACAGACTCAAAAAGTTTTGGAAACAAAAAACTCAAAGAAGAAAAAGGTAAATGGCCCAAACGATTATGCTAAAGCATAATTTGACCCACAGACCTTGACTCGCCATCCCTGCTGACATGATGACTCTGATGAGGAGGAAGCACATCCAAGTGGTATATCCCATTCACTTCACGACCACTCCCAATCGTCCTCTTTGAATCCAAATCCTGCAAAATACAATGACCGGGAGAAAAAATTACTGAGCAGTTCAGGTTCTTAGTCAAACTACTAACAGATAACAAATTAGTGCTCAATCTAGGAACATGAAGGACAGAGGGTAGAGAAATAGAATCACTAATCTTGACAGATCCCTTCCYAGCAATAGRAACATGGGATCCATCAGCTGTGGAGACCCTATCTCTGCCAGAATAGAGCTGGTAAGTTGAAAAAATAGTAGACCTCTGGGCCATGTGCTATGAGGCTCCAAAATCTATAATCCAAGGAGGTCCTTCCTTACCTGAAGTAGAGACATAATTTGTAGTGACGTGTGAACTACCTGTGTGAGCAAAGGAAGTAGAGTGGACTCCACCAGTGCCACCTGTACCTTACTGTCTGCTTGCGGCTGAACTGGAACTGGCTGTATCCTGCTGGTTCAGAAGTAGCCCATACCTCTGAAGTTCGGCCCTTACTGCAGCAACTGCAACAAACTCTAGAGCAGCTGTAGTAGGAGGGGCTGGAATGTCACCAGTAACTGCCATTTGTGCATTTCCCTTCTTATTTTTCAATCTAGTCGGCACAAGATGTGGGTGAAGCTTCCAACAACTATCTCTTGTGTGTTTAGGCTTCTTACAGTAGTCACAGATCAACTCTCTTTTATCTTTCTTATTGATTTCACTACCACCCCGATCTCCACTTTGTTTAGGTTTCACAACACTTACCATGGTAGACTGATCAGGAATAAGATTTTTCATCATCACATTTCTCTTGCACTCCTCCCCTGACACAAAGGCATATGCCTGGGAGAGAGTAACACTGTCTCTGGAAAGAAGGTGCTGTCGTGCAATATTATACTCAGGATTAAGGCCAGCAAGAAATTCAAACACCCTATACTTCTCTAGATGTTTCTGATAGGTAGCTGCATCCTTAGTGGTTTCCCAAGCAAATGTCTCCAAATGGTCAATCTCCTGCCATAGGGTTTGAAGGGTTGAAAAGTAGGCTGCAACAGGTCTATCTCCCTGCCTTGTAGAAATAATCTGATTTCTCAACTGATAAGCCCTAGCAACATTCTCCCTTTGTGAATAGGTTTCTGCAATCCCATCCCATATTTCCTTAGCTGTATTTGCTCGTA